CATTCCCCACCAAACAGATAGCAGATGGCTCCATCTCTAAACAGAAAAACAGCACACTGCAGGTCTGCTACATAGCAGGCAGTTTAACTTTCAATGTTTAATGTTTGCCCAAATTCAATGAGGCCTCCTTTGAATAAGCGCAAACTCAAATGTTAATTCATGAATTAGCAAGTTTGATTGTTTTTGTTTTTTTCTTTTCCCAGAGAAGCTGTAGGTAGTTAGAGTTAATCTGTATTTATATTGAATCAAAGTTTAGCCTCACTATATTATTTAAATAAACAATGGCAAACAAATTCTTTGTCTTCTTCACTTTAACTGCTGACATTCATTCTCGTCATTATTGTAAACCACACTTTAGGGACAACCAGCGAGCATTCGTCACTTTGTAGAAACCGCAACCAATGAAGCCCTCCAAGATCTGGGAATCATTCTACACAGTGGCTGAGGATTTTTAACACACTTTTTGTGTGGGTGACCTATTTTTCCAAGCTTGTGCTGCAGCTGGTCGTTCAGATTTCCCTTTTTTTTTGTTGTGGCCTGTTTTCTGGTGTCTTCCCCTTCACTCACCCACACCACTGTCACATTTTCCCTTTCGCCTTGCTTGCTGTGATTTGCTTTTTGTTTTAAGGCAAATAAAACACAAAAGGGGAATAGGGCACTTGTGGGAATAGGAGGCATTCCCGGGAAGCTGTGAAGTTGCGTCCCCGTGCTCTCTCAAGCAGGAGTTGGGCATGCTTTGAAAACCCTGCAAAGCTGTGAAGGGAAATGGAGCCCCCCCATGCATTAAAGGCAGGGCTGGGACGCTGGTTAACCGCAGGGTCGAAGCAGGCTGCTCCGATTTGAACATCACAGGCAGAGAGGGGAAGGCTCCTCTGCACAACATCACTGCTGCACTTCCAAATCACAAGCTTCCTCGGGGCCTGCGTTTATCCACAAGGAGGGCTTGGCTGACCAAAATGACACCCTCAGCAGCGTGGAAACGTCGCCTGTGTCACCGCTGCCGTGCCACTCGCCAATCAGCGACTCGTCCTGTTGGCTGAGAAAATGCAGCGGTGCATGAACATCGTTTAAGACGCCATTAGATGAGTTGCTTTAGCGATGCTATTAAGTGTCCCTTTAACTCATATTCCACAAACGCGACGTTAATGCCAGTAGCGTTTAGACTTGTTGTGGTGCATCGAGTGTATCATTGTGGAATGACTCGACTTGTCCTTTAAAACTCACCTAAACTTATTAAAAGATACTTTTCAGTCTTCCGTAGCACCTGTTCTCATTCGCTTACACATTTCTCAAATTACTTTCCAAGCGTGCTTGCTTGAAGCTTCTTATTTGACAGTTTACTGTAAAAGTGAAACACAAAATGTTCAACCAAACCATATAATTTCTAAAATCCATTGAAAGTCTGCTAGCTTAATGCTAACATGTTAAGAGCAATGAGCATAGCTGTTATGGTAAATGTAGACCTTCAAACCACTACTTTAAAATACAGATCATACAAAAAAAAAAGCAGACAACCATACTGGCAGGTCTGCTGTGTGGGTATAACGATTCGCAAGGGGATCTTCTCTGCCTTCGTGCACTTAATGACGCCGCATCAATTCCAGCAGACATTAGTTATTCCCGGCATGTTGTGGCCCAACAAGTTACTACAATGAAGGTGTGCAACTCAAAATTCGGACTGACATGAATACTGCGAAAATCCACCCGAAACTCTAATTTATTGGACTGCAAACCATGAACCGCAATAGAACACGGTTTCGCCGTTTTAACAAACATCTTCATGATCTCCTGCTTTGTAGTGGCACATCACAGCGAGTGTTAGAATGTGTGTTCCTTGGAGATTTTCTTTTCACACGAAGTGTTATGGCATGTTGACAGAAGCTACAAACGCGCGTCCTGATTTTTAATCCTTCAATCTGGTTGTAGGAAAACCCACAGGGTGCAAAAAGCATTGACGTGCAGCAAAATCTCAGAAGTCTCATTTGGTTCAGCAGTGAGAGCAAATGTGGGTTTATGTGATAGTAAAGCACTGATATAAAAAAATACTGGAGTTTTGGGATCACTCCTCACGGTCATTTTGGTTCCAGGCGGTGCTTTTGTTCTGCAAAATGGACCTTTCTCTCTTTCTGGGGTGGGATCGGTGATTGCGGCTGATGACAGCTCTACAAAGAGGAGTCGGGTTTCTCTGGTGGGTTCCTACTGGCATAAGTAGCTGCAGCCTGCTTGGCAGCATCAGGTTGCTCTTGAGGAGAAATTTTATTCCACCAGCCGTGGAGCACATACGCTTCTCATTACACCCTTCTCGCACATGTTAAATGAGTAGACTTTCTTTTATGTTCAATTATGCATGGGAAGATATTTTATAGCCTGTATTACTGCTTAAAATGAGAGGTGTGGCCCAACTTATACAGTACATTATATGAAAAGTGTTTACTTATCACACGCTTTACGTTTGTAGTTTGAAAGGACTATTTCATGTGTTTATTGTCTTTGGAAGACCCGATAAACTGAATTATTAGTAGCTGGGCTGGGCTGGGGGGAAGGGGGGGGGTCATATCCAGCTATCTATTTTCTATGCCATTTATCATCATCAGGGTTGCGGGTGAGTTGGAGTCTCGGGTCACAACTCATCGCACAGAGCAAACAGACATTCACACTCATATTCACACCAATGGACAATTTATTGTCTTCGATGAACGTAACGCGCATATTTTGGGAACGTGGGAGGGAGTGCATTCCAACTCCACGTCGGAAAGCCGAAGAGGAGATTTGAACCCCCTTTACTGTGGGGCAGTGTTTGCTATATACTGTATTGTGTAACAGCTGCTGTTTCTTTCTTTCCTTTCTTTGTCTTGGTACCCCTTTCTGAAAGCTATCTTCCTTTGGGGCCTCGAAGAGTGGAGGCAACTCTTTTAAAGGGGAAGTCAAACCCAAGGTTTTCTTGACAATAATATGTTTTAATCACCTCCACTAGTCTAAAGACGACATTCTGATAAATATTACGACTGTTGAATTTGAGTTAAGCAGCAAAATCCACCCATTTTTAGCCTTCACATCGGGGCGGCCATTTTGCCACTTTTTGTCGACTGAATATGACCTCATAGTTACTCAGGCCTCAGGTAATGATGAATCACGGCACACCTGTTTTCTGAAGCTGAGACATGATTAGTCATTACCTGAGCACTGAGCAACTGTGATGTCATTTTCAGTTGACCGCAAGTGGCAAAATGGCCGCCTCCTGAGATGGAGAAGAACGGGTTGATTTTATTGTTTAATTCATATTCTACAAACGCAGTATTAATCAGAATGACGTGTTTAGACTAGTGTTGCTACAGAGAGCACATTATTGTTCAGAAAATTTTGTAAAGAGATTTGCTGTAGTCGTCTCATTGAACAACATCCTGAAACTCGTGAATGAGCGTGAAGGAGAGACTTCCAAAGAAGTGAACTGGAATGAAGGAACTGAAAATTAGCTTCAGGATGCAAGATGACTCTTGTGCTTTTTGTTTTTCTTGGACAGAAATCCGTAACCAGTTGGTGGAGCAGTTCAAATGCTTGGAGCAACAATCGGAATCCCGCATCCAGTTGCTGCAGGACCTGCAGGAGTTTTTCCGTCGCAAGGCAGAAATCGAACTGGAATATTCCCGCAGTTTAGACAAACTCTCCGAGAGGTTTTCCTCCAAAATCCGCAGCTCCCGGGAACACCAGCAGTTCAAGTACGTCCGCCGTCACTTTCCACCTCTGTCCTTGGTGGGCCTGTCCTCCTATGAACCGCAGCACTTATGGCTCTGCCTCGTTTGATTACAGTGCAGAAAACAAAATCTTAAATCATGTTTATGTTCCAAACTGGAATATCCGTTATAATAACCAACATCTTTAAAAGGTTAGCTCGCCGGGGCGTAGTAATCAGGACACGGCTCATTAAAGAAGCTACGGGCGGACAACAAATTTGCTGGACTCACTCTGCTTTTGTTCAGCACTTGGCATTACACAGAAAGGCATTTCACTCGTTGTTGTATCAAATCATATTTTCCATCTAAATATGTAACAGATGCTCCACATAAGAAGTTGTGAATTGCTTTTCCAGAAGTACTAAAGAGAGTCCCAATCAATTGATCATGTTATTTATTCAAGATAACGTCTTACTGCCTGCACAAAGAGCACACTGATGATGACGTTGTTGTCATGTCTTAGTAATGAAAAATTCTGAGAGACTAGCATTCAAACTACTGCTGTTGGGAACTAAGAATAATTGTATCGTAGTCTGTGATTCCCTTTATTGTGGCAGGATGTAGACGCATCTGATAAGAGTGTGCTGGTGGTCCCAAGAGTTGTGGTTGTCAGTGTATCGAAGTAAATCAGTTTTGCTGGACCACTTTTATCGTACATACAGTATATTATCGCTCTTTAAAATAAGAGCCAAAGTCACATTTTGAAAAAAAAAAAAAGATACATATAATTAAAGCCATTATTTTATGAACGTCACAATATAGTTCATATGCACAGATGTCTCTTGAGATACAACCACACATTTTTAATATTCCATCCTTCCATTTTTTATTTTATTTTTTTAAATAGGGTTGACCTCTTTAGGGTCACAATTGAGCTAGAGACCATTCCACTTGACTTTGGCTGAGAGATGGGCTACGCCCTGGACTGTCACTGTGATCAGCGTGTGAGTCACATTCACACCTCTGAGCAATTTAGAGTCCTCCATTAACCAAGCATGCATCTTTCTCTTTTTTTTTTTTTTTTTTTTTTTTTTTTTCCTTAAAAAAACACCTGAAGAATACCGCAAGCACAAGGAGCGCTTGCCAACAGGAGCGCCCAAACTGAGATTCTAACCCAGGACCTCTTGAATATTAGGCAAAAGTGGCAACCACGATTCCAACTTGCTGCACAACCAATTTCATGCGACAAGTAGTCTATTAAAATTTGGTGCAAATGTGAATGAAAATGCAGTTTGAGAATCCTTTTTTTTTCTTCATCTTTTCAACATTTGTTGCATTGAGAGCCATATGACAGGAAATACACATATGTTATTGTACTCTAAGTGTTTTATGCTCCAGTAGTGACATTCTAGTTTGAGGCAATGTAATGAGCATTTGCCCTTGCTGGCAAGTCATAACTCTTCGAATACCTTCAATCAGATTGCTCTCATGTAATATCTTATCAGGGGCCTATTTGCATGGTGTCAGGGGATTAGTATGACATTATATGCTAGGCCATGTGATTTATTCACCAGTAATGTAGTCCTCATTGCATTTATTTTATTGCCATTTAAGATGTGCAAACGGAGCTCTCCGCATGCCCTTTGCATTTCTCACGAGTTGTACAGTTTCTGTTAAAAAAAAAAAAAAAAGAATATAACTGCATTGAACAGCAATGTCACTGCAAAGGAATCTTGTGAAAAATGAGACTTGTGGGTGTGTTCGTCTTGAAAATCCTGATGAAAAGTCTTCTCGCAGGGAGCCCTAGCAACACATTGACACACGACTCACGCAGGGCATGAAATTAAGCTCTGCCGCTCCCAGAATCAAGCACCTCAGGGCACGTCGGCGTGCTTCTCTCTGAAATCTGGAGCAGTAACCCAGCAGAGATCTGGCAACCCGAACCGGCGCCAACCTGTCATTTCACTCCAACTCTTGATCATGGTGGTAGGAAATAAGTCAGCACTGCAACCTGAACGCTGCCATCTTGACTCGTTTTAAGTGTGAACACCTCCAACGGTGTCAGCGTGACATTTCCTGAGAAAATAATTATTTTTAGTCCGTGTTGCATCTGTCAGGCTTTGTGTAAGAAGACTGCTGCGTGACAAAGAAAACTAATAAATATTGCTCTGTGGAGGCACATAAGTGAGTCCATATTAACCCTTTCAGGGACAGCGGTTACTTCAGTGGACAGCTTACCATGTTATCAGGTTACAGAGTGCATGAAATAGTAAATTCTATACGTACTCCTTCAACACTAACCTATTGGCAAAGATGCCTTAGAACAGGAAACTAACAGGAAGATCAAAGTGTGTTTTATTCTATACACACAGTATATAGTGGAGTAAGGCGAGACTCAGAGTTGTGTTAGTTCATGTAAAAGGCGAGGAGTCATTCACTGCCACTGACAGATCCTGAAGTCCAAAAAGAACCATTTTCACTGGGCTGGCGTTGAATGAAATAAGGGAGACCTGGCTGACTCCAAAATGAAATGTAAAAGCAGAAACAGTCCAATAATGTGGACGTGCGTTGACAAAATAGCAAATTATTGTATGGTTTTTGTTACATGAAAAATAACACGCTGCATAGAAACTACATCCGCTTGTCCTCGGTTTCCATTCAATTATCTGTTGGCCAGGACAGCATTGAAAAGCTAAAGTTTTCCTCTCGAGACATGTGCATTCAAACTGTGCATGACTGACCTGCTTTAAAGTACAAGGGGAAGACTGTTCGATTCCTCCTGAATATGATATTGTTGCATTCTTGGCGGTCCTTCTTTGTGAAGTTGGCGTCGAATTTGTTTGCATTGAAGCAGGGCAACTGTTTGACTGGATAATTGATTCCAGCTGTTGCAGCAGGTTACATTCCGGCATCTTAAGAATCTCCTCTCAGTTGACACAACTCCGCTGGCGCAACCTGACTGGCTTAACCTTTCCGCTGTCCAATGGGATCGTAGCCACAGAACAATGTGGCAGTGGACATGACACAGGAAGAAAGAGATCAATCCACACAAATAAGCTCTTGTGAGATAAAACAGTACTTGTGTAAGAGTTGAATTAAATGTTCATGTACGACTGGTGATGCCTGCATGGCACTCAGTCGGCATCACCAATCGACACTGGCTTACTGACATCCAATTGTTACATTTGAGTAGTCACACAGGTTGGAAATGTGCGTTGAACATTTTCATAAATAGACCCAAACCGCCCGTTCAACCACACTAAAGGGCTGAAAATGTTTTGCGATAAATGCTCCCACTGTGTCTATCTTTTAAGTTTTATGGTCGGCTTTCTCACTAGAGGGAATATAGGAGAAGCTTGGACATATTTCTTGAGTTTCCTTCAAAATACAGGACATGTTTCAAACAACAGCTGGTAAAATGTCTATCATTCCCGCATCGTTGTATCCAACAGTGAAATCCATCATCGGAGATTTGAATGGAGACAGTGCTTCAAATCCACTACTTGTGCTCGTGCTTTTTGACGTTTCAACGCGTCCATGAGCTGCACTTTGAAGCCAGATACGAACTGTGAGTGGGTGAACACGCAATAGGCACACACACACATCATCAATGCAGTACACTACAGTATAAAACAAAAAAAAAAACAGACAGATAAGTACACTAGTATTAATACTTCTCAAGTAATAAAAGTCGTCTAGTGAACATTTTACTGTTCAACAGGCCAGGTGTATAGATGTTAAGACACCTAAGATCTGTTTTTAAATTGTAAAAACTGATTTAATATCAGTTTGAAGTCATCCCCAAATATCACGATCAATATTATAACAACTGGAAATTGCAATTCACACAGATAATTGTATGTGAACGCCGTCGCTAAACCGAACAAAAAGTATTTACAGCATGAAGGATAACGTTGAAGCCATCTGATTGACTGCGAAACAATTGCTTTGATCTTCTAAGGATGCCACGAGCTGATCATTGCCATATTTATGGCCGCTGCGTCCATGATCATGCCTTTCATCTATTGCAATATAACTGGGATTTGGGCTCACCCCAATCAGCCCATCAAAGATGTGGGATGCTATTAAATGTTTTATTAAGCGGAAGAAGAAAAATAGACTGTTTTTGTCAGATTGCCTCATGTCAGACAGATAAGTACACTAGTATTCATACTTCTCAAGTAATAAAAGTCGTCTAGTGAACATTTTACTGTTCAACAGGCCAGGTGTATAGATGTTAAGACACCTAAGATCTGTTTTTAAATTGTAAAAACTGATTTAATATCAGTTTGAAGTCATCCCCAAATATCACGATCAATATTATAACAACTGGAAATTGCAATTCACACAGATAATTGTATGTGAACGCCGTCGCTAAACCGAACAAAAAGTATTTACAGCATGAAGGATAACGTTGAAGCCATCTGATTGACTGCGAAACAATTGCTTTGATCTTCTAAGGATGCCACGAGCTGATCATTGCCATATTTATGGCCGCTGCGTCCATGATCATGCCTTTCATCTATTGCAATATAACTGGGATTTGGGCTCACCCCAATCAGCCCATCAAAGATGTGGGATGCTATTAAATGTTTTATTAAGCGGAAGAAGAAAAATAGACTGTTTTTGTCAGATTGCCTCATGTGTCACCGGCCCCACGGCGCACACGCACAAACATTCAGCACGTTACGCGGATAATGGATGGATATACTGTCACCGCAGTTGCTGCTAATAGGAATTAAACGATGGAATAATTAAGACTGAGCACAGAAAGTCTCAATAAAAGATAACAACTTGGTGTGTGCACTCGTGGACCAGGCAGAAGGGCAATCACAAATGCTTTTAATAAGATGTGACACGTCCCAAATGTGTTTTGCGTAATTAGGTTGATGGTGAACCACATAAACACCAAATAGGCCCGTGAAGAAAAATTTTGTTGACATAAAGCCATCAAACAGAATACAGTGGTACCTCTACTTATGAACGTTTTTTTCATTTGAAATTTGAAAGTTACGAAATGCAGTTCAAAGTTAAATGACCATCATTTTTATTCTTTACTCCATTCTTTCTTTTTTACATTATGCACAACTCTCATTTAGTGCACAATGATCTAATTGTAACAAGTATTTGTTACATATTTTGATGCATTTTTTTGGCGTAGGAAACATTTTTGTCTGAATTTGGGGGCGGGGGGGGGCTTGGAACGAATTACGGCATTTACATGGAAAATGCGTCTCTATTTCCAAAATTTTCTACTTAATACGTTTCTGCCAGAACCAATTAATTTCGTAAGTAGAGGTACCACTGTACTAGAGCTATTAGTTACTCTAATATCATGAAAGTTAATTCTTGTTCCTTCTTTGCTATCATATATTTGGGGGTTTTGCGGGTCGCCTGGAGTGTATATACTGTATGGACAGAAGTATTTGGTCACCTAAAATTGTTAACCTATGACCACTGTGCGGCCTTTTGATGTTCAGACCCTGATCCTCAAAGCCTGGTTCACAGGCGGCAGTCAATAGGTCGCCCTTATCCCAATGCATAGTGCAGCTGGTGGAAGTCAGCATGTCATGCATCAATAGATTAGCCGCTTCACCATATGTAGCTTTTGCAGTTCAATGCCGAAGCTGCCGCCCCGGCTTGTATGCAGCTGCGCATTAACAAACATTGGCAATCTTCATCCACGAGCAAAACTGCGGCATGAGTCGCAAAATGGTAAAAGGAAAATGAATGTGCGGCGCGCACCCATGTACCATTTTTGCCTTTTGAAACAGTTTGTCTCTTGCTGTCTGGGTTGTTTGGTCGATAAGCAGCAGGCAGACAGTGTGTAGAGGATTAAGAGCACTCGGCACACAGTCTTGTTTGGTTTGATAGCTACACATTGGCTTCTGAGAATCGTGGCTGGGAGAACGTCACAGGATTTGGGTGATTAAGATGATGGCATTCAAGCATAAAGCGTGGTTGTTGCACCCCAATATGAACATTTTGGTGGCATCTTGCAGTGGGCTGATCAGTGAATCAAAATTTTCTATCTTAAACCACACTGCATTATATTTTTCCTTTTTTCAGAGAGGAGAAATTGAAAAAAAAAAAACCCACAAGGGGTTCTCCATGTTAATGATATCCTATGTATAAATACCCATGACGCGATGCCATTTCATAAAAATCCCACCCGCTACTCTGTAGAGAACATCAACCTCTTTACAGGGCCAATTGGAGGAAGAGTTGTAAAAAGAGGAGGGTCTTTGATGTCAGATAGAAAAGAACTATTAAGAGGTTGAAATATTTCCAGAGATGTGGGTCACGCAGAAGTCTAATTAGTGGCCGCCTGCTACTGTGAAATGAGGGCAGTTTGCAAGGAAGAAAAAAAAAACATCTTGTGTCCTCTTGTTGCTGTGACTCTGACATTGCCTGCTATTAATTTGAATAAAATTGTGCTTGTAGGTGGCAGTGGTGTGCAAGTACTTTGCTTTGTGAGTGCCCGCGTGTCTGTGTCTAAGGTTGATTAAAAAAAAAAAAAAAAAAAGAATCAGGAGGCTGGCTTTGCTTTAGGACGTGATTAGGACAATTTGACCACTTTTAAGGATTAGCAGAATTTGGAGGCGCTTGGTCCCCAAACAGCACAGGAGACTTGTCTGTAGCCTGTTTAGGCAGTTTGGTAGCTCAGGTGGGATCACTACAAAAGGACAGGTGATTAGGATGTAGAAATAGGCCATCCCAGAAGAGGGAATCACAAAGTGCTCTAATTCAGATTCGATTTTGCTTGTAAATCCATACTTAGGAATGGGTCAATTGAAATTCATTTTGTATATTTAAAATATATTTGGGAAAAAAAATCTTCTCTTTGCATGGCACAGGTTGTGATTTCTGTTTCAATACAAGATTATGCCAACATATTGTATAGTTATCTAAATGTTGATATACTTGGGTGACGCTACACACTTGCAATCTCTACAGGAACTCGCAATTGAGCGGCACAAGGGTGGATTGTGAGTACTAGTTTTGGACCTAAGACGACGGGACCAAACAATTTATCAATACAATAAAGTGTTTTTATCGTTTTTAATGTAGTATTTGCTTGTTGATTATCCTTGTTAAAGAAGAAAGAACTCTACACGTGGCCATCCACACTTAGTGGCAGTGTGAATAAGAATGGTTGCCCATCTCTTTATGTAACCTGAGATTGACTGGAAAATCAATCCAGGTCCTCTACTTTTCAGAGGAACAGGCTCCAGCTAACCTGCAACCCTGAGCAGGATAATTGCTATCGAAAATGGATGGATTCCTTTATCCAGAACCTCCCTAACATCTGTTGGATTCTTTGTTTTTAATGTTCCACCCTCCAGTTTTGTGAACCCTGGTTTCATAGCTTTGAACTAATCGTACTACCTAACAAGCTAGCTGGCTAGCTAACTGCAATGAGAACAATAACTCTGGGGACTCGAGCATGAGACTCACGTTAATATTGCTGATACGGTTGTGTGAGTTACTCTCTGATTCCCAGCACTTGTAGCTGGATATCAGTCTCATAAAGCATTAGCGTCAATGATTAGCATTAGCGTCATCTCCGGAGGCTCCCCTTTGAAGTTGTTGCGACTGCATAGTGTAAAGTAACCCGCTACACAAATCCCCCACCACCAAAACACTGTGGTCCTGCTTTGCTCTCATTTCCTCCTCTGTTTCTTTTTTTTTTCTGGTCCTTAGAGTGGATTGATTGATGAATGCACAGACAGAATCAAGACAAGGGGGGAATGGCTTTGGAAGCATACCATATGTGTCTATGTAGTTATCTAGCGGTGTGTATGCAATGCTCTTTGGATTTGAAAGCACCCTTGCTGGCATGCGCTTAAAGTCATTATGCGGCAAAGTAGGCCCGTGCATCATTATACATTTAACCAGTTGATGTCTACCTAGTGTTTAATGTAGAATGATTTGGATGGGGTGAAGATACTGTCGGCAATAAGGTAGGGATTGAATGAAAGCCGAAAAAAGAAGGAGATTGAGTGCTTGTTGTTTTATTTGACTGAAGATTAAGTATAGTAAGTCACGTTCTTTTAAAAATATCGCTTCCTCTGCAAAGCATATTTTCCGTACTTCTTTTTTGTGACTGGTAAATGAAGTAAAGGGGGTCATATTTTGGGAAATTCACTTTTTAGGTAGTTGTTTACAAATCCTGGTGTTCTGGCATGCTTGTCATCGAGGGTGAAATTACATGACCTATTTTGTCAACAAGCCTTTCACAAGGATTATGACAAACCCAGGTCAGCTAATTTGCATAATAGCACCTCCAAACTGATTTTCTGCACTGTGACTTGGCAGTTTAGCTGGGCGAAATTGAGATGTTTTCGGTTCATGTAAGCACCAGTGGACTACACAGAAACAGCATTGCGTTTTATGTCTTATAATATTTGGATTTCCCAGTAATGCTTAAGATGATTGTCGCTGCTTATTTGTCATGGGAGACAAATGTTTAAACTTTCCTGCAACCTGCGTAATGATGAACATGTCATAAAAATGTAAAACATTAAAAAAAAACAACAACAACAACAACAAGCACATATCCACATCCTCATGGTTTGTTTTCTAGGAAAGACCAGCACCTGTTGTCGTCTGTGAACTGCTGGTACCTGGTGCTGAACCAGACCAGACGCGAGAGTCGTGACCACGCCACCCTCAGTGACATCTACACCAACAACGTCATTCTGCGCTTGGCCCAGATAAGCGAGGATGTCATCCGCCTCTTCAAGAAGGTCAGTGGATGCTTAATTCGTTTGCGGTCCAGCCTCACGTTTCACTCTGAGAATAGCATAGAATAACCCTATTTTGTTTTTTGTTTTTTTTTTAGTCTCGCAGTGGGGCGATTCCAGGTGCTTTGCGATTATGGTGCCTTCATAATGCTCCATTTGTACATGATCAGAACATATTTCACCTCTTGGCCTAGATTAGCCAGCATTTACAGACGGATCAATGTTGGCTTTGCCGGTAACTAAATCCGCTGTGTTATTTCTGACGCAAAGATGACCTCCGTGCAGTCACTTTGTTTGGCTGCTTCGATTGACGTTGTTGTCCACTTGGGATGCAAATATTCCAATTACCGGTAATTGTTCGGATGAAAATTTCCTCTCTTGAAAGGATTTTTTTTTCCCCCTATTGAGTTGTAGCTTATAAGTCATTAACAAATAAAAAAAATTGTATATTATTGGATCTCATTGCATTGTGCTAGTCAGTGTGTTTTGTGTTATGTGCTCTGGGTGGGGGGGTTTTGAGGCCTGTAGAAGCAGAAGCTTGCTGAAAAGTGGGGGCCGGACACCCCTGGACACATTTTTTTGTCGCCTACCAATGGGTGTTAGCAGCATTTAGTCAGCACATAGCTGAGATGATTCTGGCCTTATCCAACCATCAAAACTCTGCTCTCACCTTGTACATCTTCCTGTAGGTGAGCATGTTTGGTGTGTGCGCCAACACTCAAACTTGGAAACACTTCATTTGAAAAAACAAAACAACAACAACTCCGCTCAATAAATACAAGTCAATGGAGAGTCATTCCTTGGTTTCCCTTTTGGCATGGGTGGGACGTGTCTATAACCTGGCCTATCTCCACAATGCTTCAACTGAAACTAGTTTCCCCAGAAAATGGGAATTCTCTTTCCGTCTGACCTTTATGGTCAAATAGAGCCAATCTGACAATGACAACTATTTGAGGTGTGGCATTTCGTCTACTCTACAAAGACTGGACAATGTGGATGCATTTCTGTCGTATAACAAATAAGGCGGATCGTTCCAAAACGATTCCTATTCTTACAGCGTGTTGCATCACATTTGTTCATTGCACTGCCTGAACCCTCGCTGCCCCCCGAGAGCCTCTGCAGTCTGCAGTACATGCTGCAGTCTGTCTCATTTCAGAGCCACTGACGCGCACTGATGCCATTCACCAGCCACCCAAGCCCTTGTGGGACTTTGAAGCATGTATCGCATCTAGTTTGATGCTTCTTTGCAATGGGACTTAATGCGAAAACAAACAAACCCAGTTTGTACCCACCACCACCTTATTTTTGTAAACACTATAGAAATTCACTTATACCTTCATTTTTTTTTTTTTTTTTTGGGGGGGGGCATGTTTCATGTATTGCATACAAATGAACAATCGCACAAATCGAACAGCTCCACTAGATTCTATTCCGCTAACCACAATATTAGGTCCTCTGAGAGCCAATAAAAGTGTATCAATGGACCGTTTTGTGGTTTACAGTGAACTGTATCACGCTGCATCTCTGCAGCTTTTTGTAGTGCAAGTCATTAGATTGTGCAAGTGTACGCTACTAGGAAATTCGACTTCAGATGAACAACACACTGACATTCCAAATATGAAATTATATTTTTACGGTAAATGTGTCTTTTTTTTTTTTTTTTTTTGGATGTTGCATTTAAAATATATTCAATAGTTTGTGACCTTTAAAGGGCGACTTGATGTTTTGTTGTCTTTCAGAGCAAGGACATTGGCATCCAAATGCACGAGGAGCTGGTGAAGGTGACCAATGAACTCTATACTGTGAGTACAACATTGAGCGCTTATTTTATCGCAGCTTGCATCGTGTCCTTTCATTCTTTTCCTTTCTAGTTTTAATTGTTAGTTGTAATATCTGTTTGACCTTAACATAAATGTGAATGCTCTGAACCTTCATGTTGCAGACTCAATCTTAAAAAACAAAAAAAAAAGTGTCAATGTGTGTATTCATTGCACCTTTTTGATGATGATAATGTAAAAAATAGGTTTGAGCGATAAAGCGGTGCAGTATTTTCTTGCCTCAAATGTGCTGCTTTAGATTCACGGTTCGTCTGTGTGGATTAATACCCGACGGTGTCATTTTGTCATACAGCGCATCATTTTGTTTTTATCTGCAAACTGCAGCTGCATTGGGAGCTTGCGGGCGAAAAAATGGATTACGCAAAGTGCATCTTTTTTTTTCCATTGACAATGCACTTTCATTTTAGCCCTCCCTGCTGCGTTGTTGTCTCGCATGCTACATCTTCTTTTCTCAGCACTGTCATATAAATCCATTTCGACGTGTTGGTATTTTCTTTATGTGCCTTTTCTGCAAACCACTTTCTCTTTCGTGTTTTTGGATCCGTCACCAAGAAGGCGTAAACTAAATGCCGTTCTTCTATTCAAGCAACAGCCCAGTGCTGAGCAAATTTATTAGAGACCATTTAGGGTTACAAAGTGCTCTCATGCAGGCTCGATTAAGTCCAGTGTGTTCTTATTGTTTTTCCATTTTGAACAGGAATGAGAAATTTCTAACTTGAATTTCCCGTCAATATATTAAAATTAACTCACGTGCAAAAAAAAAAAAAAAAAAAAAATTCACACTTTAGCATAAAAATAATAACACACTAATAGCAATGTTACCACTATTGTAGTGACCGGTAAGTCTCGAGCCATAGAAAAAGCAAAACACAAACTCAGAATTGAGCTTGCTGAACTGTAGCCGCTTGTGACATCATGCAGAATGGCAGTCACAACTCTGGAGGCGTAATTCCAAATGTCATGACCTCAGGTACATTCAACTTCTGTGCTTCTGCTGTATTTAATAGGAAAGCATTTTTATTGGAGTTGAACTCATTTTTTTCCCCCCAACTGCAACCTTGTTAGTGTTTTTCTTTCCCTCATAAATAGCCAAATCAATAGCCACTTAGTAACACATGGTGATTTTTCTTCTAATGGTTTTCATTGGCAGCCAAGAAAACTGTGAAATCCCCGCCTCCCGAGCCAGACATGGAAGGCCGTGAGCAAAAAAACATATTTCCAGTCTGCCAAACCTTGAACTGAGGAAAGTGCAAAAAGGCCTGAAAATCCCCCGTTGATATTTTCAGCAACATGACTCAGGAAGATGCAACGATTCTCAGCTTCGGCTCGTGTTAATTTCCGGTTACGCAGACTTAATATCCCCAGTGAGATCAATAATGCTGATCTCATCTTCGTGACGGCCCACCTGCTGTCTGTTGGCTGCGCCCTTGTTTCTCTTATTAATAGCAACCCTTATTTAGAAACTCTCAGATGGAGAGTTCTGTTTCCTTCATTGCCTCGGTCTGTCATTCATGCTTTTGTTGACTTTTTCATTCATCAGCGGCAGGATTTCCTCACATCTTTGAAAATGTGCACTTAGAGATCTGGATTGGGTTTTTTTCCCCCCACATAATAGTACATGCAAGAGTTATGTCATAAAATCCAACAGTACTTGGGGTTTAATGGGCACAACATTAGTTACACTAATGAAACGCATGTCTTCATTAGTGCTGTAGGTGAGCTGGAGTTTATCCCTGGACTAAAGTCAGGGTACTCCTTGGACCGGTTGCCAGTCAATCACAGGTCACATATTGACAAACACCCCTTCACTCTAAAATTCACACCTGTGTACAATTTAGAACCCTCATGGTCATAAATGTGGTAAAGGCAACTGCTCTGTTATCATTCATGTTAGCTAATGTTAGCTTAATGTTGAGCTATTTTTCTTTATTAAAAACACATAGCTCAAAAAATTGTGGAGGTTTTGGTGGAGCTGCAACAGAATATTGACATTTAAGTTACAACAATTTAAACCTGTTTAGCACATTAACCAGATAAAAATAAAATCACACTAGCCAACCTAAGTATTCATTTAACGATATGTTTGCATGGCTTTGTGTCCTGATGAAAATTAGCCTTTTTTTTTTTTTTTTTTTTTTTTTCCCAAATA